AATCAGACTGACCTTTTAAGCTTCCCAGGGACCTTTAGTCCAGTCTGCTATGATTAGAATCTAAAATGTCCCAGGGAATATGGCACTCCATATCAATTGGCTTTGATTTAAGTTGGCTCCAACATCCTAAATCGTAAATTGCAGACCAAGTCAGATTTTTATGGTCAGATGGCCAGAGACTGAAAGACGAACCTCTGTGAAAATTGCCAATTTCACACCAGAAATGAAGTTTGATGGACGCCAAGCCTCCCAAATCTAAGCCGAAGAAATCGGGCGCCGAAACCTATTAGCATAACTGGGAAATCAAATATTATAATATATGTACAAAAACTATACAGTAGCGTCAAAGGAAATATACAGCTTTACACAAGCTCTCTAAAACTCTTATTTTTGGCTATACCAAGTGATGATAATATCTCTTTGGCGACGGAGGGAGTTATAATTTAACTTCTCATCGACATTATTTCAGCCATGTAGCAACGATTTTCACCTTCTAATCAACGACGTGTAACGAATTGCGATCTTAGCGAATTCATTTCAAGGTTCCCCCGAACGAGTTATAGCTCAACTTAAAGGAAGTCGTCGAGCGATGTCCAAATGAAGTAAGACCTAAAGTATCACGTGACCGAAATACGTAACAATGAAGCTCCTTTGAGCACAGAATATCAGTGTTATAACCCCCATTGGGATTGTGTAAAAAACCACCATTTGCCTAAAATAGCACTGTAATGTAAGCCTCGTTTTTCGATAAAGCAGAGCCTGGTAGAAACGATTGATGACTACCTTTAATTGTTTGTATAACAGTAAAGAAAAGGATGCACGTGACAGTAACTTTGAGGAAAGGTTATGAAGTACAAAAACACCATCTAACAGACAGAATCAGAAGCTATGAAATATGTTCTAGCTGCATCGTGTCTATATCACAGTAGACATGCTCCCGAGTCGATGTTTGTAACTGAAACTAACATGAATGTAAAAGCCTAACCACGCAATGACCTTTGGCGTAAACACACACTACAGATGTGATTTATGAACTGATCACTTGTAATAATTTACCATTTGACAAGGACAACAGGTATCGATGAGAAAGTGTGAAGCTGATTTATAAGCCGCGTTGTACAATAGCCCCCTATTAACCGCGTTGTACAATAGCTCCCTATTAACCGCGGTGTCTTCTACACGGTTCGAGGACAAAACTGTAATTTTTTTCCGAAAGGTCAGAGGACCGTGCAGGGGATATACAGGGATAAACAGACAGTTGTTGTATTGGGAGTTTTTTAAACCCCGCACACATCGCCCAAATCGTCCGATCGTATGAATCACCCAGACCAACGATGTATTTTAAGAACATTATTCCCACAATTTAAATCCGACCAACCCGACTTGGGGTGATGAATGAGTATGGTTTTGCACTGCTCAGCAACTTCCTACCTCAGCAGGGCATGTCATACAAAGAGAGGCCACATATGTGGGAATCGAACCCGGCCTTTCGGCTTGACGAGCCAACGCTTTAACCACTAGACTACATACCGCCACCGATTTATGATGAAAACATAAACCCTCCCTGTACCATTATTTATTAACTGACATTTTGAATTGCGCAGATGACCTGGCTGTGAAAGTGTTTTTTTCGCTGGAGGCATTTGCACGGTTTTCTTGAAAGACGAGCTAGGAATTCTAGGTCAAGCCATCAGTTTTTCCCTATAGTGTGTTAGGTTGGTTGGTTGGTTGGTTGGTTGTTTTACGCCGCACTCAGCAATATTCCAGCTATATGACGGCAGTCTGTAAATAATCGAGTCTGGACCAGATAATCCAGTGATTAACATCATGAGCATCTATCCACGCAATCGGAATCAATGACATGCATCAACCAAGTCAGCGAGCCTGACCACCCGATCCCGTGAGTCGCCTTTTACGATAAGCAGAGTCGCCTTTTACGGCAAGCATGGGTTGCTGAAGACCTATTCTATACCCCGGATCTTCACGGGTCTAGTGTGTCAGGGCGTCTGTCGACATCTGTGGATCCTAGAGCAGCTCGAAACAACACGTGACCATATATGGGATTTTAATAGAACTAATACACCTAAATCAAGCCTGGATCATACAAACCAGTGATCGATAGCATGAACAACAGCCATGCCATCGGTTTGCGATGCCCACAACCAGCCTGGCCACTCGGTGTAACCATCCGATCCTCAATTTAACCTTTTCGCGAACACCTGGTGTTATTACATTTCCAGTGATCCATTTATACTAATTTCACCGCTACGTTACATTTTCCGCCAAGTGGAATCTGTTTCGCTGGAAAATCGAGACAGGTTGTTCCCGCGCGTGTGTATGCTTGTTCTAGTCCGGACTAATGCTGGTTTTATAGTGCTAGCCCACTGAGATACAATGCCACAGTTTAACATGGACACACCACTCAGACACAGTATACTGTCTCCGAACCGACCAGTCCTTGTTTAGCCCCTTAATGCCGAGCGCCAGACAGGGTAAGAACAAGTACCATCTTGTGGTGAGGTTTAATGATGAGGTTTTTTATTTACGAAAGACATTCGGGACTTCTTCCTAAGAGCAGTATTATATATTGGGTACTTGGGCCCTTCTCTGTCTCAGAAACCCCACGGTAGATACGGATGCTGTGTGGAAAGATCGTTCTTGGCAACATGTTTGGAGCATGTTATAGGAAACAGATCACAATGTTAAAGTTTCGCGTACATTTGTTCAGTGGAAATGTCAACGTTGACACACATCTCTACCGCCACTCCACTTAGCACTGCAACATCGGATACTGTTAATGTGATTGCGTTCTCCATTGGGCAAAATTACAATGATGACGTTTAAGTACTAAGCGATTAAGATATTCATTTTCAAACGCATAGATAGAACCGATTATACGCCACGAAATACATTTTAAGTTCACACGACTGCAGTTATTGAAGAAGGTTATTGAAGTCTCGGTTTGAAAGTGCAGGAATCTGGAAAATTTTAAAACAGAGAAACTCTTAAGTGTGATTTGTAAGCAGAAGAAAGAAAATGCGTAATACATTAGAGGCTATGGCTCTCGTTCTTGTGAAGTTCGTTTCGGTCATGGGGAATAAGAATTGTAATGGTAATTGTCCCCCCGGGGAAATACGTCGGGAAATGAAGAGATAGAAACGATTCTGGTTCGCTGGTGATTCTGTCCCATAGCAGTAGACTTTAACAAGTCTCTAAGACAATACTTATTAGTTAAATTATAATTATATAATACCACGTAGTAGCGTCAAGTGCTTTATGAAAAACATAAATTACCCCAAGGCTACAGTAACGGTTACCTGATCCAATAAAGGATTTCGTAACGGTTTGTCCTTGTCAAATAGACGTTCAGTTGAGCCAACAACGCTTGCCCCGATACAAAAAGAATTCGAGTGAGCCAATAACGGTAACACTGATCCAGTAAAGGATCCATTGAGCCAATAACGGTTACACTGATCAAATAAAGGATCCATTGAGCAAATAACGGTAACACTGATCCAATAAAGGATCCATTGAGTCAATAACGGTAACACCGATCAAATAAAGGATCCATTGAGCCAATAACGGTAACACTGATCAAATAAAGGATCCATTGAGCAAATAACGGTAACACTGATCCAATAAAGGATCCATTGATCCAATAACGGTAACACTGATCAAATAAAGGATCCATTGAGCAAATAACGGTAACACTGATCAAATAAAGGATCCATTGAGCAAATAACGGTAACACTGATCCAATAAAGGATCCATTGAGCCAGTAACGGTTATCCCGATCAAATACTGATTTCGTTGAATTTCGATTCCAATAAATGTTTTGATGGGTCAGTTGCAGTTGCGCTGATAAAAAAGGGTTGCCCTTGTCTAAGACAGTTGCCCTGACGTGGTAAAGATTGTATGATTACTCTGTGGTCCCTCAGCGCACATTCCTCGTAACACCTCCACTGACACACTGGCTTGCGTCTCAGGGGTCGGTTTCACAAAGCGGCCGTAGCGCTAAAGTGATCGTAACTTCCATACTTTAACATAGAATTACGACTGTTTTAGAGCTATACACAAAAAGTGCATGCTCCCCAAAAATGATTTTAAAAATCCTAGGCATTGGTGGGCAGGTGTTAAATGCTGCTTTTTAGTATTTTTCTTAATGCAGTCATGGGTAATTGTTAAAACACAGTAACACGTAGATGTTGAATCGGTGGTGTTGAATGCAGTAGTGGGCGAGTATTGAATGATGTAACTGATGGTTGATGGATCAGTAATGGGCGAGTGTGGAATACAGTAATGGGCGAGTGTGGAGTACAGCAATGGGCGAGTGTGGAGTACAGCAATGGGCGAGTGTGGAATACAGTAATGGGCGAGTGTGGAATACAGTAATGGGCGAGTGTGGAGTACAGTAATGGGCGAGTGTGGAGTACAGTAATGGGCGAGTGTGGAGTACAGTAATGGGCGAGTGTGGAATGCCGTAATGGGCGAGTGTGGAATACAGTAATGGGCGAGTGTGTAGTTCAGTAATGGGCGAGTGTGTAGTACAGGAATGGGCGAGTGTGGAGTACAGTAATGGGCGAGTGTGGAGTACAGTAATTGGCGAGTGTGGAATGCAGTTATGGGCGAGTGTGGAATACAGTAATTGGCGAGTGTGGAGAACAGTAATGGGCGAGTGTGGAATACAGTAATGGGCGAGTGTGGAATGCAGTAATGGGCGAGTGTGGAGTACAGTAATGGGCGAGTGTGGAGTACAGTAATGGGCGAGTGTGGAATGCAGTAATGGGCGAGTGTGGAATACAGTAATGGGCGAGTGTGGAATGCAGTAATGGGCGAGTGTGGAATACAGTAATGGGCGAGTTTGGAATGCAGTAATTGGCGAGTGTGGAGAACAGTAATGGGCGAGTTTGGAATACAGTAATGGGCGAGTGTGGAATACAGTAATGGGCGAGTGTGGAAATCAGTGTGGTTGTATAATTGTTCTGTTTTCTTCTTCACAGGGATTTACAAGGAAACAACCTGACGGTTATACGAAGATCTGACTTTGAAGGGATGAAGAAACTCAGGATACTGTAAGTCTTGCTACACCATGCACAACCGGTGCTTCCAGTGCAGATTAAACGGTTTAGGAAACGCAAATCTAGGTCATTCCTGCCGCCTGCACTGCATGTACATGTTGAAAATAATATATTTCCGTGGTCCATGCGTTTCGTACTGGATGTGACGACTATGACAGTACAAAGGTCACACGCCTCTGCTGTACCACGTGCTGGATATGATAGGATGCAGGTCGTTACAGTGTCACTCATAACACTGTTCTTATTTTGACCGTGAAAAAGGTTGTCATTGTTCAAAAGTGAATATCTGAGTGAGATGGTATATCAAATAATTTCTCTTTCAAACTTTTCAGTAATTGCCACTGTTCATACACTGTGGTTGCATCACCCTTAAGACCGCCTCCGTGGTCTAGTGGTAGAGCGTCCGCCCGGAGAGCAGAAGGTCCGGGGTTTGATCCCCGGCCGCGTCATATCAAAAGACGTTAAAAGATGGTACTTGTTGTTACCCTGTCTGGCGCTCGGCAATCAGGGGCTAAAACAAGAACTGGTCGGCTCGGAGTCAGTTTACTGTGTCTGTGTGGGGTATTCATGTTAAACTGCAGCATGGTATCTCAGTGGGCTAGCACTATAAATCGGCATCAGTCCGGACTAGTACAAGCAGCCACACACACACACACGTGCATGCACGTCGCTAGATAAGTGCAATAATCTTGGACGCAACGTTAAACCCAATTTCACCTCACCTCACCTGCATCACCCTTAAGGCAAATCTCCCCCCAAACAGTCACTCTTTGCAACGTTAGCATGGGAAATTAAGGTTAAATCTGAGTTTATTGAAATAAATTTCATTTTACGTATGGAACTTCCCCGTTATTCTTCACACATTAGTTGTGTATAAAAGTTTTCCTTCTTAACAAGACTTAAAATATTTTTTGCAATGCGGATATTATCAAAACACAATTTAAAAAGTGACTCTTTGCAACGTTAGCATGGGAAATTTACGTTAAACCAGAGTTTATTAATATACATTTCATTTTACGTAAATAACTCCACCGTTGTCGTTCACACATTAGTGGCGTACAAATGTTTTGTTTCCTAACAATACATGTAATGATTTTGCAATGCTGATATTATCCAAACATTATGTAAAAAGAGACATATTTTTAAAAGAAACCGTTAGAATCAAGATGTTATTGTGTAAAATGACGTGGTCACTTACTCGACGTCCTAGACATGGTGATGTCACGATATGCCCCGTAGTCAGGAATTGTCTTCAAAGCCAGTCGCATTGTTCTATTGTCTTCTATCAACTGTAGTATACGCGACAATAAGGAGCCACTTATGAGGCGATAACACTCCGATAGATGTGAGTTAATGTTATGTTTTCAGCACTCGGATATTGATTAGGGTAGAAGTATGTCAATAGCCTCCAGATACGACACGGGCTTCACGTGCTTCGCGTGAATCCGTCGCTAACTAGGAACGTTGTTTATTGCAGAGATGTAAACGACCTGTCGCTTGTCTGGGACAGTGAATGCATTATAGTTATTAAAGCTGAATATACTGAGTGAGTGGGTGAGTGAGTGAGTTTGGTGTTACGCCGCTTTTAGCAATATTCCAGCAATATCAAGGCGGGGGACACCAGAAATGGGCTTCACACATTGTACCAATGTCGGGATTCGAACCCATGTCTTCGGCGTGACGTGCGAACGCTTTAACCACTAGGCCCCCTGAATATACTGACAAAACGATTATCAATCCCTAACTTGTAAAACAGGACTGTACGTTGGTATAACAACTTTTCAATCCGAGAAATATTTCTGAAAGTCGTTATTGTGTTTAGTTTTGTTTGTTGTTTAACGCCGCACTCAGCAATATTCCAGCTTTGTGACCGCGGTCTGTCGATAATCGAACCTGGACCAGACAATCCAGTGACTAAGATCATGAGCATCGATCTACACATTACTGTGTTAAACAGGAATGTTTTGTGAAGAAGGATTTCTTTAAGATTATCCTAGATAAGGGCACAGTTGTTTGAGGAAATTGTAATACACTGGATCATTACGATACGCTTTCGAAAACTTATATGTTATTGGAGACGTATTTATGTGAGATAATGAGTATGATATTTCTCGCAGGACAACTTTTCATCCTCAGTGGTTTATTTGTTTCTTGACAAAAGGGGCGTGGGGTAGCCTAGTGCTTAAAGCGTTGGCTCGTCACGCCGAAGACCCGGGTTCGATTCCCCACATGGGTACAAAGTGTGAAGCCCATTTTCCCGTGTCCCTCGCCATGATATTGCTGGAATATTGCTAAAAGCGGCGTAAAACCATACTCTCTCTCTCTTGACAATAATGCTCCGTCATATCAACCTCGGAATCATCTTCCCGAGGCAAGGGAGTTAACTGAAACTGGACTTTTATAATCAGTTAGCTCCCTTCCCTCGGGAAGATGCCTCGGAATATAATGTCATTGACATATATCTCCGATGATATACAGCCTACCATATGTAAACCGCCTCATAGCATCCAAATGTAGTTGAATGCGTCTAAAATTTTTTTTTTTCTTCACAGCCAACTATTGGACAACAAGATACGTACAATCGAGAAGGGAGCGTTTGTGAATCTGGTCAGCATGGAGCGCCTGTGAGTAGTTGCTCTTCACATTATACTCCTGTGTATATTCATATCTACTTCAGACGGAGCCAGTCCGCTATCAGATGACGACCCGAGGTCGCCAGCGTCACCCCTACCCCCCTGGGTAACGGGTGGGGTGACAGTATTAGCCATACATAGTTCTCGGTGTTGGATTCTACTATCGAATGTTCAGTCAAGCTAAAAACTCAAGCATCTCAAATAGCTATTTTCCAGACCATCCTGAAGTAGGCATGACAGACAGCTTACCGGTTAGAATCGCGCCCTCCTCCTGTTCTACAACACCTTTAAACTAAGAACACCAACAAATATACACACTCTGAAACCACGGCTTGGAAGAACACCCCTTGTCTTTCTCACAGTCTCTGAACCATATTATTTTCCCTTCTGCTCAGTCCTTTCTGGAATGCCCTAAATGAAGCAAGTCTAGATTTTCCTTAGGTTCAGAGACTAAGCGTTAGTCTGGAACACCCCATCCTCTCCACCAAAGGAACTCGCGCAAAATCACCCACACTTAAACACTTGTAGTGATTGAGGTTTTACGGCGCTTTGAGCAATATTTCAACAAAACATAGGAACATCAATGTTGGCATATCAGACTAACACTTAGTCTCTGAAAATAATTAATTTAATAGAAACAAACAACTCCATATAAATTGAAAAGGATCCCAGTGAGATGGGAGATTCAGAACCTGAACCTGTGGAAAATCTAGACTTGCTTCGTATGGAGCAATAGCATATCATTAAGGGCTAGGTGGAAGGGAAAATAATATGGTTTCGGGACTGTGAGACAGACTTTAAACATCTATGCATTGTGCATTGCTGGGATTCCATTAGCCTTGTTCCAAGGCTGTACTGAAAGAAAAGCCTATGGCTGTGTAGTAATTCTATCCTCCTACAGGGCAAGTCTAGATATGTGGACAGTACAAGAACCCCAGTCTCTTATACAACCTGTTCTTATTATTTACATTATCTAGAAATAATGATTTGCAATGATAAATTATGCCTTAGAGACTTGTGCAAGTCTAGGATTTCATCCATTGCCGTCTTTGGGGTGGCCCGAACACTAGGCTACACCAATCGCCCGAAACACCTCCAGTAAGACCAACAACATCCCCCATCCGCATCTGTCCACCTCGAAATAAATACAGCATACGCACACAGACACATACTTTTCAACTTGCATAACAACACGAGTAGAGTATCCGACAACGACATTACAGTCATAAATCTCACATGTCTTCCTAAGAATATTAGAACCCCCATGATGTAATGTAGTTTAAGAGACTGTGTGAGAGTTACCGAGATCTGTCTCCGAGTTGCTTGTTGACATTATTAGCGGATATGACTCAGGCTCCTCGATCAGGTCAATGCAGTAAATCCCTAAGTAAATCATGACTCACAGTTCTACCTGAAAATTGATATTTATCCTGAAGACGAAGTATCATAGCTGGAGTACACGAGGCGGACCGCGTGAACAGCTTTAGAAACTCGTTTTCGAGAAGACTAGTCCTAAGGACTAGTGTACACGTTATTTCACTCGTCGTCAGAGTTTGTAGCTAGTGCTGCTTGATTTTCTCTCTGTTTTATTCAGTTCAAATTTTGGGCAAATTATAACCCTCATGTATTACAAGTCAATAAGGACCATCATTGGGTTTTGACTTGCCCTCAGCACAATTTGGTTGTCTCGGGCTAGTGGACAAGCGTGAATTTCGAAGGCTGGTCTCCTGAAACTGTAGTGCCCTGTACCTGCAGCCGATGGAGGGAATTTTCAGTCTGTGTGAAACTACTGATAAACCATTGATTAACGCCAGGTGTTATCACTGATTTTCAGTGATACATTCATATGATTGTCACCACAATTGTGTCTATTCTCCACTTTCTACTGCCAAGTTAGTCCATATATTTTTTGCAACCGCATGCTTAACAATTGCCGGAGCACGTTGAACCAAACACTCCTCTTATTCACATGATGATATAAATTCAGAGAAAATATTATTACACGGTCAAGGCCAACCTTAGCTGCCAATAACATGTGTATACAATTTTTATATACCTGTCAATCAAATCAGTGGTCACAACACTTGGCGGTTATCATTGGTAACCTAGTACCTATTAGCCCGGGGGGTCGGGTTATCGGGTAGAAAGTCTATCAGTCAACACCCCGGGGGGACGTGGCCCGTGAAACGTCTCCCCCAGAGGGCGTTTGGTTACCTGTCACTGGGTCGGTAGGTCTGCCTCAGGTTAAAACATCATTTGACAGCTTCTGTTCGCCTCTACCGTTTGCGCATTCCAGAGAGGAACCCAGTGTCCATTGCCACGGACCAATGCCTAGATAATGAATAGGTCATGTTTAGCCGATTAGACAAGCATGATTTGTTGTGTCATTGATATAGCATGATCTTGAAGTGTTGGTGTGTAGTGAAAGCACAGGTAACAATTTCCCAGTAAGGTTAAAAAAAAATCAAATCTTATCAGGTCAATATTTACTTTAACAAAGTTCGATAATATTTATCAAAGCCAATACGTTTTCAGGTTTTTCTTTGAAAGAGCAATGCTTACCATAACATAATTCATCATTCTGTTGCGCACAGGAAGAACGCGTTTTAAAACACATTAGGAGCCTTGGGTTATGAAGAAGCGATTCATTTGAACCATTCTCTCAGCTGTAGTGAGCGAACAGTTGCTTGAATGTCATGGCAAACTGTGAATGATGTTATCTATGTGAAATCTCCAGGCTTTGTTTTCTAATAGCCGACTGCCGGAAATGGCTTCAGTTTACAAGCAGTTCGCGAATAAAAGAATGTTTATCTGGGATAGAGAACATGCAATGTTGACCAGAGTTCGCAATGCAAGACGAAATGTGAGCCTATCCTATTCTGAGACGCACACTTTCGCCAAGTCAAACTATCCATAATCAGCTTAGCAATGACCACAACACGGCGGTCAGACAAGGAGACGATAAACATTGCTGAGACCCCCTCTATTCATTGCTCCAGCATTATCAGTGCCCATCGCCACCCAACTCATCCGTTATGCGAAGTATCGGCGACGGGCGCTTGCCAAGCCCGACACACCGAGTCCCGTGTACACAGAATATGAATTTGATCATACGTATCTGTCTGTAGGTCGTGTACCGTAGGACCTCCAGTCAGAAGCGTCAACATCTGACCAGGTTCCTTCTTAGCAAAATAAACAGGCGATTGTACTGTTGCTTACTGAAGATGTTTGTGGACGGTTATAACACGTTAGTCGGGGAGGGTTTGATGAATGGGGTTTATTATTGGAGACACGTGATACGGGTTTATTGTTATTGAGAACACTCGTATATTATAAACAGTAAGCACATTTTCACAAGGCTGTTTTAGTTGGTCCATTACTTTATATAGAGCCATTAAGGAAATGTAGTCGACAAGGGCCACTTGCAGTCACGTTTATAACGTGCTGTGTTTCGGTTCACAGGTTTATAACCTCCGATATATACATCGAAGCCCTTTTAATATGGGGGCAATATTTCTTGCGAATTAACACTAGATTAAGGAATCATTAGTACGGAGTAATATTCAGTTGTATTCACATCGACATGGCGAAATCCACTGTGACGTATTTAGATCACATGTTACTTTTGGTCCTCCAGCCTTTTGGTATCGGTCGATGCCTTCCTTTACCAGCAGTTGTCTTGAATGAGGTCATTGAGGATGGTCAGGCCTGAAGTGCTTTTCGGCTTTCGCTTTTTGTGTTTTTTGTCTTCATGGGGGCACTGGTGTTACTGACGTTTGAAGTGATAATGCACTAGTTTATGACGGACATTATATAGCTAATCAAGATGGCGATGTTCACGTCGACGATGGTAACGTTGACGTTATCACAGCAGCTCTGCAAACCTGCCACGAACACACAGAGAGTCACGTTCTACCCTAACGATCACTACACGCACATCTGAGTGATAGTATCTATCGAAATGTTTATGTAAAGCTTTGGAAAATCGGAAAATACCCTATCAAACACTAGCCGCCAATGCGCGTTTGACGCCGCCAATTCAGCAGGAACTAGGATGTTTATGACGACCGTGAGCTCCCAGCAAGGTTCTGAGTCTGCGGTTCTAAGCTAACACAAGATGTGATGATATCTACACGACGAGTCTACACCTAAATGACCCCCCGTCTTCTACAAGTCGAAACTAAAGGCGTTTCTTTAAATGATGGAATTCTTTATTCTAGCCAACGCGCCAACACAAACAAAGGTACGAACCTGATCCTAAATGGCTGAAAGTTTATATGTTGCAGTGGCTGAGCCTCCGCTTCTTCGTCCCGCAACAATCGATAACACACGCATTAGAAGGGAATCTTGAAATAAATATTGCTTCCGACAAAAGGATCATTTTAAAATTATGCCCTTACATCAACTAGGCTTTGTCATCGGAGACTGAAGTTTACAATCAGCTGTATCGGAGGAACCCGACTCGTCCTGAAACACGAAGCGCCCTAATTCTTCCTCCCAAAGGCCGCGATGTGCTGTGTTCTCAAAGAAATAACACTGTAGGTCTTTTACAGGGTTACAGTTAGGGTGACGTTGACAGCGTGTGCCTTCCTGCACTAGCAGACATTTACGTACCATCGAATAACAACACTAGAAGACACTCTCTGTTCACATGCTAGGATACCATTAGAACACCTAACGATGTCATCAGGTATTATCAGTAGAACCTTCTACAGTGTCATCAAGTATTGTCACTAGAACACTCTACGGTGTCATCAAGTATTATCACTAGAACATTCTACGGTGTCATCAAGTATTATCACTAGAACACTCTACGGTGTCATCAAGTATTATCACTAGAACACTCTACGGTGTCGTCAAGTATTATCACTATAATACTCTACGGTGTCATCAAGTATTATCACTAGAACACTCTACGGTGTCATCAAGTATTATCACTAGAACACTCTACGGTGTCATCAAGTATTATCACTAGAACACTCTACGGTGTC